AGTGTCTTGAAATAAAACCATCTCCCGTTTCTCCATCACACATTTAGGAAATCTTTATCCTCGTTCCCCCGGCCCCTGCGACCCTGCGTGTGCGGGCAGCGCCGGGGTCCACATGAGCGCCACAGACGAGCTAGGTGTGTATTTAACCAAACGGCGCAGGGAGGTATACGATAACCTTGGCTGCGTGCATTGTGGGAGCAGAGACGCTGAAGCTATTGATGTAGAGAGACACACACAATTAACACGTCCACCTTAACTCAGTTTCTGTGGTTGTAGAACACACACATCCACCTTAACTCAGTCTCTGTGGTTGTAGAACACACACACGTCCACCTTAACTCAGTCTTTGTGGTTGTAGAACACACACACGTCCACCTTAACTCAGTCTCTGTGGTTGTAGAACACACACACACACACACACACACACACACATCCAACACATCCACCTTAACTCATTCCTGTCCGTCAGCGCCTCAGATTTTGGGCATACCTCCCGCACACAGGGCCCGGGCGTGTGAAAGCACCTGTGGCTGCTCCGTCTGAGGAACGCAGAGGGGCCCAGGAATAACCCCCCCCCCCCCCCCCCCCCCCCACACACACACACACACACACACAGAGAGACACACTGCTCTCTCTGTGGCTCCCAGGATTCTCTGACTGTGATACACGGACTGTACACTATACAGCTCTGTTTACCGTCCCCACACCTGCTGCCATGGCAACTAGCAACAACACCTTTAAACTTGCTATTAAAGGGGATGTCTGCAACTTTGATTGGAATTCACTTTACTCAATACTGACATATGTGCATTTAACTTTGCACTGAATAAGATGCTAGGAGGCCAGTCCCTGTGCTCCTCAGAGTCCCAGCAGGAGGCCAGTCCCTGTGCTCCTGCATAGTCCCAGCAGGAGGCCAGTCCCTGTGCTCCTCAGAGTCCCAGCAGGAGGCCAGTCCCTGTGCTCCTGCATAGTCCCAGCAGGAGGCCAGTCCCTGTGCTCCTCAGAGTCCCAGCAGGAGGCCAGTCCCTGTGCTCCTCAGAGTCCCAGCAGGAGGCCAGTCCCTGTGCTCCTTCATAGTCCCAGCAGGAGACCAGTCCCTGTGCTCCTCAGAGTCCCAGCAGGAGACCAGTCCCTGTGCTCCTCAGAGTCCCAGCAGGAGACCAGTCCCTGTGCTCCTCAGAGTCCCAGCAGGAGGCCAGTCCCTGTGCTCCTCAGAGTCCCAGCAGGAGACCAGTCCCTGTGCCCCTCAGAGTCCCAGCAGGAGGCCAGTCCCTGTGCTCCTTCATAGTCCCAGCAGGAGGCCAGTCCCTGTGCTCCTTCATAGTCCCAGCAGGAGACCGGTCCCTGTGCTCCTCAGAGTCCGGGCTGGTTCATATGGGACTAACATGTCATATAATATGTATGTTGGTGCGAGGTTCAACCGTTTTTTAAATTTTAATTTCCATACCTGCAGGTGAAAGACAGACCTCTGAAGCTAAGCAGGGCAGGGCCTGGTTAGCCTGATGGGAGACACAAGGGCCAGAGTGGAGCAGCTCTAAAGTGACTGGTTGTGTCCTTAGGCAGGACACTTCCCCCACATTAGAATGAGTCTGGTGTGTGTGTGAATGGTTGGTGGTGGTGGGAGGGGCCGATGGCACAGACTGGTTGCCTCGCTTCTGTCAGTGTGCCCCAGGGCAGCTGTGGCTACAGTAGTTTATCACCACTGTGTTTGGAGAGAATGAATTATGACATGTGAAGAGTTTAGAGAGTTCAGAAAAGCGCTGTATAAGATTATTATTATTATTATTGACCATAGTTTTCAGATATTATACTTAGACTTGTTGAAAATAAAAAAGTATAAAGTTAGAGTCCTGGCTCCAGTGAAGCTCCAGTGTTGGTTGAGCTGGAGCCTTGGGTCCTACAGACAGGTGCCTTTGTTTAGCCCTTTTCAAGTGTGTGTGTGTGCGTGCGTGTGTGTGTGTGTGTGTGTGTGTGCGTATGTGTGTGTGTGTGTGTGTGTTTAATCATTATTGTGCGCCGCTTCACATTTTTGTGCCGTGTTCCCGAGTCGGATCGGCACATTCCGCTGCCATTGTTCCGTGGCCTGTTTCCTGTGGCCGCGGCTTTTGTCAGCCTCGGCCCCATTGTCCCGGCTTCCTTTGTTCCCCGGCTCCAACAATGGCTTTTCTCTGCCTCTTTATATTTATATAAATATGTGTGTGCACTTTCTGCCCTGGTGTTTTGTGTTTTGTTTTGTTCGCCGTCTGCTGCGCTGTGCTTTGGTCCCACCGCGGCGCTGGGAAATCAAACCCTCACACGCTGGCGCCGCTGATTGGTTGGAGGTGGTTCTTCACCTGTGGCTGAGGTGACGTGGGCGGGGCTAACGGGGGCGGGGCTAACGGGGGCGGGGCTCTCTCTCCTCAGACCGCTGTTATTCACCGTCACTTTTCTCGCACCAGAAGACAATAGCACTTCCACCAACGCACCTCTAGCCCTGACACCGGCCATGACCTAAATTAGTGGCATTCATGTCTAACGTCGAAGAGAAATGTGAGGTCGTTGAAGCCTCGGTCTGTTCACGGCGGAGAGAAAAGTGATAACAACAAACCAAAGGATAGGGCGGAGTTCATGTGATAAACCCTTTTAAAAACACAAAAATCCCCAATCCCCTTCATCTATATAGAACATTTTATAGAATACGTTTCCAAAGTGTTGTACAGAGATCAAATCAACACATTAAATATGCAGGTTTGTCAGCCTTATGTTTTAAAAAAAATAGAATTAAAACATTATGCACAAAGTAAAAACAATACAAATTTAATAAAAACAATAAAATACCAGTTACAACAAAAATATATATGGACTGTGTTTTGATTTTGTGCAGACATAAATCACAATAGAATCTCAGGAGATTTTACAAAGTGGTGGATTCGCCAACACAGAATCAGACAGTTCACAAAACTACATACATTAATACAAATAATAAACACATACAATACAATTTATTCTTGTTTAGCCCTAAATCACGACAGCATCATCTCAGAGACTTAACAAAACCATTAAAATCACCAACACAGATCAGAGAATCAACAGTTAAAGTTTTTTGCCAGACGCATTTTTTTTAAATATTGTGTGAAAACGTCCCTAAACCCTAAAAGTATAAAGTTATCATGTGTTTTCAAATAGTAATGGAATTGACCAGATGTCTATAATATATTTAGGCGCTAACTGCATCTTTAAGACACACAAAAATACACACATGTATTGGTCCATAGGGAGAGACCCCTGTCCAGAAATGATTATAAACGTCCATAAATGTCCTGGACCATCTCCACGGTCCTTAGATCCGTCTGCATCGGCAAAAAACTACTCAAAAACACAGTGAAAAATCTCAGGAAGACACTTATTGAAAAGACGGGCTGTAGATCCAGGACTAATAACTATAATAAATCAAAAATAAAAGCATTAATAGTGCTGTACTTTTATAAAAATGTGGCAGAATCAGAATTATTTGTATTGCTATGTTAGGAACAGGAAGTGACAAACTGGGGATTTGCTTTGGCTCATGGAGAAAAAACACGCTAAAAGTAAAAAAACGTATTTTGAGAAACGACCTTCACAAAATGGACCAACGCAAAACATGATATTGTAGTGATCGCGGCAAATTGTCTCCGTTCTTTGGACCTGAAAACCTGGGTCGGCTCTTTTGGTGTGATGCAGATTGTACCATAAAAATCTTTCTCTGTCTTCATTCTGTCTGAAAAAACTGAAACGACCGGAGTAAAGGCCCATGGACATGTGTGTGCTTCAGATCCAGCCTCTAGTCTGTCCACTGTATATAAGTACACACAATCTACAGACTACACACAATTGTAATACATGGACAGAAAAGTACTCAAAAGTACTGTCCTATTCAGAAGTACTTCCAAAATGGAGAAATTTAAAGTTGTATTGTTATAAATGGGAAAAATCACAGCTTTCTCGAGATTAATTTTTTTCTGATTCTCACTGTGGTGTTGAGTATTATTTCTATTTGTATCAGGATAAAGATTGTCATTTTTAGTACCGTGTTTTGCCGTGACACTGGCGCTGACCCAGCCTGGTCGTACCACACCATAGTACAAACTCCATTGACTCCGTTAACAGGTGGGAGGGGCTAACTCCTTTTGCAGATTGAAACAATTGGATCTGAGTTTACTGTGACGTATGTAACGAGCCCGAGTATGTTGTTAGCATTTAGCATTTAGCCTAGCTTTAGCCATCTTCTTTGCCGCTAACTGAGCCAGTGGGGAGTAGCGCCACAATTTTTTCCAGCGATTACATTTGTTAAACATTCCTCTTGCTCCTGCTTCAGTTTCTTGATAGAACCAGACCGTAATACTTTACTATCACATTCTTCGCCAAACTACAACCTTCCCGTTCGACGCAAACTCTTGACATCACCCACAACTAACTACAACACCCGCCTCCCGCGCTCTCTGATTGGTCGGTCGAAATTCAACCGATCGTAATTGCAAACACAGGGACCAGACCCAGACGTTACACGCAGGACATGATGATTGAGCGGCGTGTACGGGTGGATGAGGCCCGGGTACCGTGACACTGGCGCTGACCTAAATTAGTGGCATTCATGTCTCACATCATAGAGAAACACGTGAGGTCATCAAAGCTCCTCTGTCTATCCACTTACTTTGGCGGCGACGGAGAGAGAGCGGAAGAGAAAAGGGTTTGAATCAAAGTAGGGCTCATTACATTTGATATCGATTCTTTATCATGAGACACAATTATCACGAGGCAGACGAGTCCGAGCGTCCCATGAAGAAGAAGCCGTGGGATCTTTTTGTTTTTGGTTCAAGAAAAGACACGGTTGACCTGGACGTTTATTTCAGTTCTTCAGGAAGATCGAAAGGTTCAAAACACCTTTTAAATTGTCCAGAGCTTATGAAACTGGTCTGAAGTCATGTCAGAAAAGTGTGTGTGTGTGTGTCCGGTTTATTCATGTGGCGCGTGTGTTTTGCAGAATGGTTGAGCCCGGTGCGGCGGCGCTGCAGCTCTCGTCGCGTGGAGCCGTTGCCATGACAGCGGTGGGCGTCAAAGTGGAGCAGGAAGAGGCCCACCACACCTCCCCGTCCCGAGACTGGACCCGAGGCCTCCCCCAAGACACGCACCAGGCCTCCCCCCCCCTCCCCCGCTGCCCGTCCGTCAAACAGGTGAGACTAAAAACAGATATAGAATAAAACAAGATATTCAAGATTTATTAATTTGTTCTTCATTTGTAGTGTCATCTTAATAATTACTTGTATTTATTTATTATAAATATTTATTATGTATTTTTTACTTATTTATCATTTTTTTATATTTACTTATTTATTATTTATTTACTATATATTACATATTTTTATTTATTTATTGACTTATTTAGTTATTGATTTATGTATTTATTTATTAATTATTTTTGACAGTGTTTTGGTCTTCTATAAAATCAATGTTTAGAATATTGTAATGATGTGTAAAATGAAGCTAAAGCAGTCTTCCTCACTTTCCTTCCTCTTCCTCTGCGTTTATCAATCAATCTGTATTTGTAGAGTGCTTTTCTGACACAGAGTAACACAAAGTATTTCACAGAATCACAACTGACATAAATCCTGACATTAAAACCACACACAGGGAAAAACAGACTCTAAGATCCATGAAAGATTTAGATCATGAATGATAATAATATAATAATAATAATAATATAATAATGATAATAATAATAATAATACATGATCACAGTTCATTAGAAAGAGTAAAGATAAAATCCTTCCAGCAGGAGGCCAGTCCCTGTGGTCCTCAGTCCCTGTGCTCCTTAGTCTCAGCTGGAGGCCAGTCCCTGTGCTCCTCAGAGTCCTAGCAGGAGGCCAGTCCCTGTGTTCCTCAGAGTCCCAGCAGGAGGCCAGTCCCTGTGCTCCTCAGAGTCCTAGCAGGAGGCCAGTCCCTGTGTTCCTCAGAGTCCCAGCAGGAGTCCAGTCCCTGTGCTCCTCAGAGTCCCAGCAGGAGACAGTCCCTGTGCTCCTCAGAGTCCCAGCAGGAAACAGTCCCTGTGCTCCTCAGAGTCCCAGCAGGAGACAGCCCCTGTGCTCCTCAGAGTCCCAGCAGGAGGCCAGTCCCTGTGCTCCTCAGAGTCCCAGCAGGAGACAGTCCCTGTGCTCCTCAGAGTCCCAGCAGGAGGCCAGTCCCTGTGCTCCTCAGAGTCCCAGCAGGAGACAGTCCCTGTGCTCCTCAGAGTCCCAGCAGGAGACAGTCCCTGTGCTCCTCAGAGTCCCAGCAGGAGACAGTCCCTGTGCTCCTCAGAGTCCCAGCAGGAAACAGTCCCTGTGCTCCTCAGAGTCCCAGCAGGAGACAGTCCCTGTGCTCCTCAGAGTCCCAGCAGGAGACAGTCCCTGTGCTCCTCAGAGTCCCAGCAGGAGGCCAGTCCCTGTGCTCCTCAGAGTCCCAGCAGGAGACAGTCCCTGTGCTCCTCAGAGTCCCAGCAGGAGACAGTCCCTGTGCTCCTCAGAGTCCCAGCAGGAGACAGTCCCTGTGCTCCTCAGAGTCCCAGCAGGAAACAGTCCCTGTGCTCCTCAGAGTCCCAGCAGGAGGCCAGTCCCTGTGCTCCTCAGAGTCCCAGCAGGAGACAGTCCCTGTGCTCCTTAGAGTCGGGGAGAGACTTGTAACAATCAGAGCAGCTTTAAAGTGTTTCAGTTTCACTCCAGAGAAACAAGAACCTTTTTGCATAAAAGCAGCTTCAGCTCAAGCCACAACCCTCCTCCTCCTCCCCGTTACTGCTTCTGTAAAGGGGCTTTTCTCCATATTTGATTTCCCTCTGTTTAAGAGAAATATCAGTGTTGCATCGCAGGTCACAGAACTGTAGGAACTCAAAGAAATCAGATAATATGTATTTATTTTATATATTTTCCTTTTTTTAACCAAGGTCTCATTCAAATAGTATTTTTCTGGGCCGGAGTGGAGTCAGAGAGGGAGTTACTAGGAAGCTATAGTACATGTTTTGGTGGTAGTGGAAACCGGAGCACACAGAGGAAACCTACACAGACACAGGAAGAGCATGACGCCTCCTCACAGAAAGGAATCGAACTCAGGACCCTCTTGCTGTGAGGCACAAGCACACATCTCAATCCCACCAGCAAATGTCAAAAACTACCACCGTATCTTTCTCCGGGTCTAACACCAACATCCTTAGCCTGGCTTTATCCATCCGTACTCTCTGCTCCATCATCATGTCCTGCATGTAACGTCTGGGTCTGGTCCCTGTGTTTGCGAATACAGTCGGTTGAATTTCGTCCGACCAATCAGAGAGCGCGGGAGGCAGGTGTCGTAGTTAGATGTGGGTGACGTCAAGAGTTAGCGTCGAACGGGAAGTTTGGAGTTTGGCGAAAAATGCGATAGTAAAGTATTCTGGTCTGGTTCTATCAAGAAACTGAAGCCGGAGCAAGAGCAATGTTTAGCAAATGTAATCGCTGGAAGAAATTGTGGCGCTACTCCCCACGGGCTCCGTTAGCGGCAAAGGAGATGACGGTAATGGTTTCAATCTGCAAAAGGAGATAGCCCCTCCCACCTGTTCACGGAGTCAATGGAGCACAGACCTTAGTACCAAATGTAATTTGTACTATGGTGTGGTACGACCAGGCCACCAACAACCTACTGCAAATATTTCTCAAAAGTCTAATGTTGTGAGTCCAGAGTGAAGTCTGGAGGAGTTAAAGCTTTGAGTCAGATTTAAGGTGGAATGATGATGTTAGGACAGCATCACTTTAAACCTGTCTTTGTTTTCCAGGACTGGTCTCCGGGACGAGAAATCTCTCACAGACAAAGTCCTTTAACGTTCAAAGAAGCTCAGGAGAAACAAGATGGACACCCCAATCTTAAAGAAGGTCAGAAGAATCAGTTTTCTTCTGTTTGTAAAAAATATAATAAAGTGTCTCCTGAGGGTTAAAACCAGTGGGGGCGGGTACCGGGTCAAAAGTGCGCTGACATGCTGCAATACCACCCCGGGCCGATGGGGGTGGACCCGGAATAAGAATTAGCCAATGCTAACATATAGCATTAGCTGACCTCTCGAAAACGTCTTTACAGGATGGACCAAAAGTGGTCTCTTGGCCCAAAGCTCCGTTCCACATGTGTGTCAATGCTGAGTGTTCTGGACCAGTCTAGTTTAGTCGCGGTGGACTTTAGAAGTCTCTCGTTTAAATGAATGGAGCTCATGCAGTTGACGCATGCACAGATGTGTTTTTTTTTACATTTTTCAGCCCCCGCGGCCATTTTGAAACTGCTCACAGACCGTGGAAGTTGTGGCACATTAGTTAGAACGGCGGAGATAGACGTGACTTTGTCCGTTAATGTTTACAGTCTATGGTTTAAACATCTCCCAGTATTCCGTTCACTACACACTGGAGAAAATACCACCCAATTTTTTATATAAGTGCAATGATTGTGGTTCTAAAGGTTCTATAAAGATAAAGAACAATACAAACTTCACTGCAAAAAATGTCAACAATTTGGTAATAATTGCTTGAATCGAATTTTTATCTTTCATTCTGACCGGGTTCAAACCTGATTCATTTTGTTTTATTTCAAGAACCGTTTCTTTATTTTCTCATTCTAAAGAAGAAAATTCTGTTTTGCCAAATTTGAGAAATGTTGCACGTATTTTTTTAGTATTGATTTGGAGAAGGAGGAGAGTTTGGTTTCCATCCATCCATCCATTTTCTTCCCCTTAATCCATTTCTGGGTCGGGGGGGTGGCAGTCAGAGCTACCCCCAGTACACTTAGCACCAGCCCCTCACTGATCCTCCTGCAGGTGCTGAGTCCACAGGAGCTGAGGTCTTTCAGTGGGAGCTTCAGGCAAAGTGGGGTTAAGTGTCTTGCCCAAGGACACAACGACAGCAGTCATCAGTGGGAGTCGTGAAGTAGGTCTTATGGTGGGCTCGAACCCACGACCTTCGGGCCCAAAGGCCAATGCTCTACCAACTGAGCCACTGAGAGTTTGGTTTTCATACAGTTATTCAGAAAGAATATTCAGAATATATAACTGCATCACATGGATTATGTTACTCCCCAATACTGCCTTAAAACTAGATTTACCAACGGGAGAAAGCAAAATGATCTTGTTTTAAAAAGATACAAGAAATGTCTCCTTTGGAATCAGAAATTAAATCAACAGTTCTTGAAATAAAACTAAATGTCTTTGTCGCGTTGGAGAATCTTGTTTTACCACAGTCAGAATGTGTCAGATTGAGATAAAAACCACTCAAATCCATTCATTTTTTGCAGTGTGAGGCTTTTTCTGATCGATGGCTGTTATAATAATTGTTGGATTTTCTAATCTGTAAAATCTTTGGAGAACGCGGTGTGATTTTGGGCTTGTAAAAAACTCCGCTGACCTCTGACATCACCAGTGTAGAGCCGCGACCAATAGAAAAGTGGGAAAATCTTCCAGAGAAAACATCTCCAGCGTCCCTCTCCAGGATTCACTCCGGCACAATGAGGCCGGTGTGAAATCAATGCGTTAAAAGCAGTAGTTGTTGTTTGTGCGTCTGGACGAGTGCCGTGAGATCTCGGTCGGTGTCTGTTCTGGCCGCGCCCCTGACTCCGCCCCTGACTCCGCCCCTGACCCCGCCCCTGACCCCGCCTGCCCTCCGCTCCATTACCACCACTTCAGCTCTTCGTTTTCTCTCAAATCTCCTCCACTCGCCGTCCTTGGTGCCTCTGTCCAAATATTGATCCACTCAAACACTCAAACTTTCTCTCAGACGCACAAACAAGCCGTGGCCTCTGGTGGGGTCCCTCCGGCGAGTCCGTTAGAACCCCAGGGTGCGGCTGTGTGGGTGCTGTGGCTGTGTGGGTGCCGTGGCTGTGGGTGCCGCGGCTGTGTGGGTGCTGTGGCTGTGTGGGTGCCGCGGCTGTGTGGGTGCTGTGGCTGTGTGGGTGCCGCGGCTGTGTGGGTGCTGTGGCTGTGTGGGTGCCGTGGCTGTGGGTGCCGTGGTTGAAACAGAAACTGAAACAGAGACTGAAGCAGAGACTGAAGCAGAGACTGAAGCAGAGACTGAGGCAGAGAGTGAAGCAGAGACTGAGGCAGGTGTGGGTGCTGTGGCTGTGGGTGCCGTGGCCCTCCTATTGAGTCTTGGTGTCCTTGTTTCTTTCAGTCATGCCGACCATCGAGAAGCTGCTGAACACGGACTGGAAGGAGAAACTTTTGGACAAAGGCTCGGCAGCAGAAGGTCAGCTCAAAGGTGCGTCTTTGCCATAACCACAGCCAAAGGTAGAAGAAGAAGAAGAGGTTTGAGAAGTCTGCACTGGTGGCAAAGGACTCTAAGTTTTTAAAGATGGAGGAAACTAAAGTGAGCTGATATTGAACCAACGCACAGAGATTTACAAACTTTATACTTAATCTGATTTGTTCTGGAACTCATTCTATTTGACATTCTGCTAAATCCCAACTCTTTAAATATGTGTGCACTGCAAAAAGGGATGAAAAACAAGTCAAAAATGGCTCACATTTGGCAAAAGGCATCTTATTTTGAGCACATTCTGACTGAGACTTAAAACTAGATTCTCAAAAGGGAAAATGATTGGATTGAGGAAATAAAGCAACAGTTCTTGAAATAAGACTAAATGGTTTTGTCCCGTTGGAGAATCTGGTTTTACCACAGTCAGAAAGTTTCCTCATATTTGTATATAACACAATATGATACATTCTCTCATTTATATTGTGACAAACCTTTCAGTCCGTCTCCCTCTCTCTGTGATCGACCTCATAGACCCAGGTGTAGTTCTCCAGTCCCTGAGCTCTGGTCCCTGTGTGCAGGTACCCCTGAGGCCCTGAGCTCTGGTCCCTGTGTGCAGGTACCCCTGAGTCCCTGAGCTCTGGTCCCTGAGCTCTGGTCCCTGAGCTCTGGTCCCTGTGTGCAGGTACTCCTGAGGCCCTGAGCTCTGGTCCCTGAGCTCTGGTCCCTGAGCTCTGGTCCCTGTGTGCAGGTACCCCTGAGTCTCCCCAGTCCCTGAGCTCTGGTCCCTGTGTGCAGGTACCCCTGAGTCTCCCCAGTCCCTGAGCTCTGGTCCCTGTGTGCAGGTACCCCTGAGTCCCTGGCGGAGAAGGAGCTGCAGTTGTTGCTGATGATAAACCAGCTGAGTGGGCTCCGGGAGCAGCTGATGGGGGCTCACTCTGAGCAGAGGAACATGGCGGCTCTGCTCCTGGAGAAGCAGCAGCAGCAGATGGAGCTCGCCCGACAGCAGCAGGAGCAGGTGTGACATCATTGATGACATCACTGATGACATCACCGATGACATCACTGATGACTGACGTTAAGAATCGACAACTTTGTCAAGTCCCCAGAGACGACTGGTGTTGTGATTTAGGGCTGCACAAAAATAAAATTGAAAAGTAACCAACGAAACAACAAATGGACTTTGAATCTCTTCAGTCTTATCAATACCAAAATATACACAGGCTACAAGAACATTTAGAAAGATAAAAAACATTAAACTTTACAAAGAAGAAGAAGAAATGGAAGAAGTCACGGACGGTTTCTCAGTGATTCTGGTTGTTTTCAGATCGCCAAACAGCAGCAGCAGCTCATTCAGCAGCAGCACAAGATCAACCTGCTGCAGCAGCAGATCCAGGTCAGACCTCTCCTCACAAACATTACATTTATATTATATTTATATGTTTGGATTTCAGTCGTAACGTCTCAGACGCTGCTGGTGATAACTGCTTCAGAGGTCTGGTGTGTGTACGTCACATGGTCCTGTGTGTGTAAGTCACATGGTCCTGTGTGTGTATATGTCACATGGTCCTGTGTGTGTGTACGTCACATGGTCCTGTGTGTGTAAGTCACATGGTCCTGTGTGTGTATACGTCACATGGTCCTGTGTGTGTGTATATGTCACATGGTTCTGTGTGTATACATCACATGGTCCTGTGTATGTAAACGTCACATGGTCCTGCTTGTGTGTGTATACGTCACATGGTTCTGAATGTCCCATAGCAACGGTTGCCGTGGTGCTGACGGGTCTCTCTGTCTCAGCAGGTGAACATGCCGTACGTCATGATCCCAGCGTTTCACCCGAACACACAGTCGCTGCAGACGGAGCCTCAGATGTCGCTGCCGCTGCAGCCCATTCCCTGCAAACCCAGTGAGTCTGAACCAAACCAGTTAAACCAGTTAAACCCAGTGAGTCTGAACCAAACCAGTTAAACCAGTTAAACCCAGTGAGTCTGAACTAAACCAGTTAAACCAGTTAAACCCAGTGAGTCTGAACTAAACCAGTTAAACCCAGTGAGTCTGAACCAAACCAGTTAAACCAGTTAAACCCAGTGAGTCTGAACCAAACCAGTTAAACCAGTTAAACCCAGTGAGTCTGAACCAAACCAGTTAAACCAGTTAAACCCAGTGAGTCTGAACCAAACCAGTTAAACCAGTTAAACCCAGTGAGTCTGAACCAAACCAGTTAAACCAGTTAAACCCAGTGAGTCTGAACTAAACCAGTTAAACCAGTTAAACCCAGTGAGTCTGAACTAAACCAGTTAAACCAGTTAAACCCAGTGAGTCTGAACTAAACCAGTTAAACCCAGTGAGTCTGAACCAAACCAGTTAAACCAGTTAAACCCAGTGAGTCTGAACTAAACCAGTTAAACCAGTTAAACCCAGTGAGTCTGAACCAAACCAGTTAAACCAGTTAAACCCAGTGAGTCTGAACTAAACCAGTTAAACCAGTTAAACCCAGTGAGTCAAACCAGTTAAACCCAGTGAGTCTGAACCAAACCAGTTAAACCAGTTAAACCCAGTGAGTCTGAACCAAACCAGTTAAACCCAGTGAGTCTGAACCAAACCAGTTAAACCCAGTGAGTCTGAACCAAACCAGTTAAACCCAGTGAGTCTGAACCAAACCAGTTAAACCAGTTAAACCCAGTGAGTCTGAACCAAACCAGTTAAACCCAGTGAGTCTGAACCAAACCAGTTAAACCCAGTGGGTCTGAACCAAACCAGTTAAACTAGTTAAACCCAGTGAGTCTGAACCAAACCAGTTAAACCCAGTGAGTCTAAACCAAACCAGTTAAACCAGTTAAACCCAGTGAGTCTAAACTAAACCAGTTAAACCCAGTGAGTCTAAACTAAACCAGTTAAACCCAGTGAGTCTAAACTAAACCAGTTAAACCCAGTGAGTCTAAACTAAACCAGTTAAACCCAGTGAGTCTGAACCAAACCAGTTAAACCAGTTAAACCCAGTGAGTCTGAACTAAACCAGTTAAACCCAGTGAGTCTGAACCAAACCAGTTAAACCAGTTAAACCCAGTCTGTTTATATCTATAGAGGTATAGCTCTATCTTTACATCTCTCTGTCAATCAAACTATCGACCAACCTTTATTTGTCGAGTGCGTTTCCGACACAAGGAAACACAAAGTACTTTCACATCAGACATTAATAATAAACATTCATCACACTCTGGATTAAAAAGAGAAAAGATACAATCCTCACATTTGAAGGAAAACTGTTCCAGATTGTTGCTGTTTAATGTTGAAACGCTGACTCCCCATAATTAGTCCTGACTCTGAGACCAGCAGGAGACCAGTCCCTGTGCTCCTCAGAGTCCCAGCAGGAGGCCAGTCCCTGTGATCCTCAGAGTCCCAGCAGGAGACCAGTCCCTGTGCTCCTCAGAGTCCCAGCAGGAGACCAGTCCCTGTGCTCCTCAGAGTCCCAGCAGGAGGCCAGTCCCTGTGCTCCTCAGAGTCCCAGCAGGAGGCCAGTCCCTGTGCTCCTCAGAGTCCCAGCAGGAGGCCAGTCCCTGTGCTCCTTCATAGTCCCAGCAGGAGACCAGTCCCTGTGCTCCTCAGAGTCCCAGCAGGAGCCAGTCCCTGTGCTCCTCAGAGTCCCAGCAGGAGGCCAGTCCCTGTGCTCCTCAGAGTCCCAGCAGGAGACCAGTCCCTGTGCTCCTCAGAGTCACCAGCAGGAGTCCAGTCCCTGTGCTCCTCAGAGTCCCAGCAGGAGACCAGTCCCTGTGCTCCTCAGAGTCACCAGCAGGAGACCAGTCCCTGTGCTCCTCAGAGTCACCAGCAGGAGTCCAGTCCCTGTGCTCCTCAGAGTCACCAGCAGGAGACCAGTCCCTGTGCTCCTCAGAGTCACCAGCAGGAGACCAGTCCCTGTGCTCCTCAGAGTCCCAGCAGGAGGCCAGTCCCTGTGCTCCTCAGAGTCCCAGCAGGAGGCCAGTCCCTGTGCTCCTCAGAGTCACCAGCAGGAGACCAGTCCATGTGCTCCTCAGAGTCCCAGCAGGAGGCCAGTCCCTGTGCTCCTCAGAGTCCCAGCAGGAGGCCAGTCCCTGTGCTCCTCAGAGTCCCAGCAGGAGACCAGTCCCTGTGCTCCTCAGAGTTGGTTCCTATGGCTCTAAATCGTCACAGACTTTGGTGTGGACCATGGAGAGACTTGTAGAGCCACAGGTGCAGAGACCTGAGACCAGGACTAATGTCCTGGTCTCAGATGGTACTTCCTGGTTACTATTATTATTATTATTATTATTATTATTATAATAGTTATTATCAGTATCATCAATCTGCACAACGTCGACCTAAAGCAGTACACTCTCCCACTGTGGCACCTGGTGTTCCCTGAGGTCTCTCATCACAGTACTAACCAGGCCCTGCCCTGCTTAGCTTCAGAGGTCTGCCAGAATCTGGCTTTCACCTGCAGGTGTAAACTAAACATAGACAAACTGTGGTTGTGTCCTTAAGCAAGACACTTCCCCCACATTAGAATGAGTCTGGTGTGTGTGTGAATGGCACAGACTGGTTGCCTCGCTTCTGTCAGTGTGCCCCAGGGCAGCTGTGGCTACAGTAGTAGTTTATCAACACCGTGTTTGGAGTGAGAGGATAATGACATGTGAAGAGTTTTTATGAGTCCAAAAAAGCCCTGTATAAAACTGTAAACAAACTACATCAGAATATGTCCCTTTTTAAACGCCCAAACGGCTAAAGCTAAAGATGCTAAGCTAACCCAACGACTTCATGGTTTTCAACAGACTTTCATAAAAGCCTAAAGGTTAATTCCTTCCAACTTTTCTGCGATCTGCAGCTTCACGGACTAATATTTAAGTAAACATTCAACTCATCCAACACTTTTTTTTGTATTTTATTCCGTTTGAAGGCCAAAAACCATTCGACAAATAGTTTCCATCAATACAAGCGCTATTAACCACGCAGTCGCTGGAATGTGCTCCTTCTGTCGTCTTTTCTCAGTTCCTTTTGAAGAGCGCACTGCGGCACTTCAACTCAAGGCCTGTTTTATATATAATGGAAACGCATCGCTGAGACACAAGCGCAGACTCCAGACGCACAATGGCGCCGATGGTAGCTTTCACTCTTGTACAGTTAGCGGGCTATAAAGGGCACAGCTCAGAGACGACAGGCTTTGTGCCCACAGCCTTTCACAACTCTTAAAAGCTCTTTCTCTCTGACCTCGGCTTCTCTTCCCTTTTCAAACCGAAAACTCACAAGGCCGCTCTTTAAAACATTGTAGGCGTAATTTAAGGATAGCTTTTCATTTGCTTTTCATACGCTCAACAAATGCCTGTTTGCCAGTGTAAGGAGAAGCACTCAAGACCACCATGTATAGAATCAAAAGTAAAGAACGCTGCAGAACGGGAGAGGTCAGGACCACAATGAGACATAATGTACCTGTGAGTACCTGTGTACCTGTGAGTACCTGTGTACCTGTGAGTACCTGTGTACCTGTGAGTACCTGTGTACCTGTGAGTACCTGTGTACCTGTGAGTACCTGTGTACCTGTGAGTACCTGTGTACCTGTGAGTACCTGTGAGTACCTGTGTACCTGTGAGTACCTGTGAGTACCTGTGAGTACCTGTGTACCTGTGAGTACCTGTGAGTACCTGTGTACCTGTGAGTACCTGTGTACCTGTGAGTACCTGTGTACCTGTGAGTACCTGTGTACCTGTGAGTACCTGTGTACCTGTGAGTACCTGTGTACCTGTGAGTACCTGTGTACCTGTGAGTACCTGTGTACCTGTGAGTACCTGTGTACCTGTGAGTACCTGTGTACCTGTGAGTACCTGTGTACCTGTGAGTACCTGTGTACCTGTGAGTACCTGTGTACCTGTGAGTACCTGTGTACCTGTGAGTACCTGTGTACCTGTGAGTACCTGTGTACCTGTGGGGCGTGTTGTTCTGACGGAGAGAGAGACGGCTCGGTTTGTAACGCAGGTTCTGAGCGTCGGCAATCGAGAGAATTGAAGTTGTTCGTGCGACTCAACCCTTCACCTCCGTCTGCTGCTCTCCGGATGGTCATGGGGTTATAGCCCAAAGATACAGACGCTACGATTACAGACGCTACGGTTACAGACGCTACGCTTACAGACGCTACGATTACAGACGCTACGATTACAGACGCTACGATTACAGACGCTACGATTACAGACGCTACGATTACAGACGCTACGATTACAGACGCTACGATTACAGACGCTACGGTTACAGACGCTACGATTACAGACGCTACGATTACAGACGCTACGATTACAGACGCTACGATTACAGACGCTACGATTACAGACGCTACGATTACAGACGCTACGATTACAGACGCTACGATTACAGACGCTACGATTACAGACGCTACGATTACAGACGCTACGATTACAGACGCTACGATTACAGACGCTACGATTACAGACACTACGCTTACAGACGCTACGATTACAGACGCTACGATTACAGACGCTACGATTACAGATGCTACGATTACAGACGCTACGATTACAGACGCTACGATTAGATGCTACGATTACAGATGCTACGATTACAGACGCTACGATTACAGACGCTACGATTACAGACGCTACGATTAGATGCTACGATTACAGATGCTACGATTACAGACGCTACGATTACAGACGCTACGATTACAGATGCTACGATTACAGACGCTACGATTACAGACGCTACGGTTACAGACGCTACGCTTACAGACGCTACGATTACAGACGCTACGATTACAGACGCTACGATTACAGACGCTACGATTACAGACGCTACGATTACAGACGCTACGATTACAGACGCTACGATTACAGACGCTACGATTACAGACGCTACGCTTACAGACGCTACGATTACAGACGCTACGATTACAGACGCTACGATTACAGACGCTACGATTACAGATGCTACGATTACAGACGCTACGATTACAGACGCTACGATTAGATGCTACGATTACAGATGCTACGATTACAGACGCTACGATTACAGACGCTACGCTTACAGACGCTACGCTTACAGACGCTACGATTACAGACGCTACGATTACAGACGCTACGATTACAGATGCTACGATTACAGACGCTACGATTACAGACGCTACGATTACAGATGCTACGATTACAGACGCTACGATTACAGACGCTACGATTACAGACGCTACGATTACAGACGCTACGATTACAGACGCTACGATTACAGACGCTACGATTACAGACGCTACGATTACAGATGCTACGATTACAGACGCTACGATTACAGACGCTACGATTACAGACGCTACGATTACAGATGCTACGATTACAGACGCTACGATTACAGACGCTACGATTACAGACGCTACGATTACAGATGCTACGATTATTACAGACGCTACAATTAGATGCTACGATTACAGACGCTACGATTACAGACGCTACGATTACAGATGCTACGATTAGATGCTACGATTACAGACGCTACGATTACAGACGCTACGATTACAGACGCTACGATTAGATGCTACGATTACAGACGCTACGATTACAGACGCTACGATTAGATGCTACGATTACAGACGCTACGATTACAGACGCTACGATTACAGACGCTACGATTAGATGCTACGATTACAGATGCTACGATTACAGACGCTACGATTACAGACGCTACGATTAGATGCTACGATTACAGATGCTACGATTACAGACACTACGATTACAGACGCTACGATTAGATGCTACGATTACAGATGCTACGATTACAGACGCTACGATTACAGACGCTACGATTACAGATGCTACGATTACAGATGCTACGATTACAGATGCTACGATTACAGACGCTACGATTACAGATGCTACGATTACAGATGCTACGATTACAGATGCTACAATGACAGACGCTACGCTTACAGACGCTACGCTTACAGACGCTACGATTACAGATGCTACGATTACAGACGCTACGATTACAGACACTACGCTTACAGACGCTACGCTTACAGACGCTACGATTACAGACGCTACGATTACAGACGCTACAATTACAGACGCTACGATTACAGACGCTACGATTACAGACGCTACGGTTACAGACGCTACGGTTACAGACGCTACGATTACAGACGCTACGATTACAGACGCTACGATTACAGATGCTACAATGACAGACGCTACGATTACAGATGCTACGATTACAGACGCTACGATTACAGACGCTACGATTACAGACGCTACGCTTACAGACGCTACGCTTACAGACGCTACGATTACAGACGCTACGATTACAGACGCTACGATTACAGACGCTACGATTACAGACGCTACGATTACAGACGCTACGGTTACAGACGCTACGGTTACAGACGCTACGATTACAGACGCTACGCTTACAGACGCTACGATTACAGACGCTACGGTTACAGACGCTACGATTACAGACGCTACGCTTACAGACGCTACGATTACAGACGCTACGATTACAGACGCTACGATTACAGACGCTACGATTACAGACGCTACGGTTACAGACGCTACGGAGACGCAGACGTTAATGTGAGTCTGAGAAGATTTTTAAACAATGAATCTCTGATGAATTCAATTAAATTCACCAAAGTAAATGTGAAGGATCCAAAAGCTCTGTTTTCTGCTGAATCAAACTGAGTCGTTTTGGAACATTATCCCATCGTATCAAATGGAAAGTGTCCTGTGTTTAGGCGTCTGTGTTTAGGCGTCTGTGTTTAGACGTCTGTGTTTAGATGTCTGTGTTTAGACGTCTGTGTTTAGACGTCTGTGTTTAGATGTCTGTGTTTAGACGTCTGTGTTTAGGCGTCTGTGTTTAGGCGTCTGTGTTTAGGCGTCTGTGTTTAGACGTCTGTGTTTAGGCGTCTGTGTTTAGGCGTCTGTGTTTAGGCGTCTGTGTTTAGACGTCTGTGTTTAGATGTCTGTGTTTAGACGTCTGTGTTTAGGCGTCTGTGTTTAGACGTCTGTGTTTAGACGTCTGTGTTTAGGCGTCTGTGTTTAAACGTCTGTGTTTAGGCGTCTGTGTTTAGACGTCTGTGTTTAGACGTCTGTGTTTAGACGTCTGTATCACGGCTGAGGTCTGTGGAGGGCAAACCCCGGCCCAGGGGCCAGATGTGGTCCTTTCAACGACTCTATCAGGCCCCTGAGCTCTAACATCCCTCAGTTTAAAGACTATAACATCCCTCAGTGTAAAGACTATAACATCCCTCAGTGTAAAGACTATAACATCCCTCAGTATAAAGACTATAACATCCCTCAGTTTAAAGACTATAACATCCCTCAGTTTAAAGACTATAACATCCCTCAGTTTAAAGACTATAACATCCCTCAGTTTAAAGACTATAACATCCCTCAGTATAAAGACTATAACATCCCTCAGTATAAAGACTATAACATCCCTCAGTTTAAAGACTATAACATCCCTCAGTTTAAAGACTATAACATCCCTCAGTTTAAAGACTATAACATCCCTCAGTATAAAGACTATAACATCCCTCAGTATAAAGACTATAACATCCCTCAGTATAAAGACTATAACATCCCTCAGTATAAAGACTATAACATCCCTCAGTATAAAGACTATAACATCCCTCAGTTTAAAGACTATAACATCCCTCAGTTTAAAGACTATAACGTCCCTCAGTTTAAAGACTATAACATCCCTCAGTATAAAGACTATAACATCCCTCAGTGTAAAGACTATAACATCCCTCAGTATAAAGACTATAACATCCCTCAGTGTAAAGACTATAACATCCCTCAGTATAAGGATTATAACATCCCTCAGTGTAAAGACTATAACATCCCTCAGTGTAAAGACTATAACATCCCTCAGTATAAAGACTATAACATCCCTCAGTTTAAAGACTATAACATCCCTCAGTGTAAAGACTATAACATCCCTCAGTGTAAAGACTATAACATCCCTCAGTGTAAAGACTATAACATCCCTCAGTGTAAAGACTATAACATCCCTCAGTATAAGGACTATAACATCCCTCAGTATAAGGACTATAACGTCCCTCAGTTTAAAGACTATAACATCCCTCAGTATAAAGACTATAACATCCCTCAGTATAAGGACTATAACATCCCTCAGTATAAAGACTATAACGTCCCTCAGTTTAAAGACTATAACATCCCTCAGTATAAAGACTATAACATCCCTCAGTATAAGGACTATAACATCCCTCAGTATAAGGACTATAACGTCCCTCAGTTTAAAGACTATAACATCCCTCAGTATAAGGACTATAACATCCCTCAGTATAAAGACTATAACGTCCCTCAGTGTAAAGACTATAACATCCCTCAGTATAAGGACTATAACATCCCTCAGTATAAAGACTATAACATCCCTCAGTGTAAAGACTATAACATCCCTCAGTATAAAGACTATAACATCCCTCAGTATAAAGACTATAACGTCCCTCAGTATAAAGACTATAACATCCCTCAGTTTAAAGACTATAACATCCCTCAGTATAAAGACTATAACATCCCTCAGTATAAAGACTATAACATCCCTCAGTATAAAGACTATAACATCCCTCAGTTTAAAGACTATAACATCCCTCAGTTTAAAGACTATAACGTCCCTCAGTTTAAAGACTATAACATCCCTCAGTATAAAGACTATAACATCCCTCAGTGTAAAGACTATAACATCCCTCAGTATAAAGACTATAACATCCCTCAGTGTAAAGACTATAACATCCCTCAGTATAAGGATTATAACATCCCTCAGTGTAAAGACTATAACATCCCTCAGTGTAAAGACTATAACATCCCTCAGTATAAAGACTATAACATCCCTCAGTTTAAAGACTATAACATCCCTCAGTGTAAAGACTATAACATCCCTCAGTGTAAAGACTATAACATCCCTCAGTGTAAAGACTATAACATCCCTCAGTGTAAAGACTATAACATCCCTCAGTATAAGGACTATAACATCCCTCAGTATAAGGACTATAACGTCCCTCAGTTTAAAGACTATAACATCCCTCAGTATAAAGACTATAACATCCCTCAGTATAAGGACTATAACATCCCTCAGTATAAAGACTATAACGTCCCTCAGTTTAAAGACTATAACATCCCTCAGTATAAAGACTATAACATCCCTCAGTATAAGGACTATAACATCCCTCAGTATAAGGACTATAACGTCCCTCAGTTTAAAGACTATAACATCCCTCAGTATAAGGACTATAACATCCCTCAGTATAAAGACTATAACGTCCCTCAGTGTAAAGACTATAACATCCCTCAGTATAAAGACTATAACATCCCTCAGTGTAAAGACTATAACATCCCTCAGTATAAAGACTATAACATCCCTCAGTATAAAGACTATAACGTCCCTCAGTATAAAGACTATAACATCCCTCAGTTTAAAGACTATAACATCCCTCAGTATAAAGACTATAACATCCCTCAGTATAAGGACTATAACATCCCTCAGTTTAAAGACTATAACATCCCTCAGTATAAGGACTATAACATCCCTCAGTATAAGGACTATAACATCCCTCAGTTTAAAGACTATAACATCCCTCAGTATAAAGACTATAACATCCCTCAGTATAAAGACTATAACATCCCTCAGTTTAGAGACTATAACATCCCTCAGTATAAAGACTATAACATCCCTCAGTATAAAGACTATAACATCCCCTCGCTGGGAGTCACTACATTTCAACATTCACAGTTGCGTCACACATAAGTTCTATCGTCGGATTATTAAAGTAATTATGGAGTCGGCAAATCTGACAATGAAAAAAAGTATTTGTGTGACGTGTAATTTGCCGCGGACAAAATCCAGTTTTTTTAATTGCCATTTGTCATTGTTGTGCAGGTGTGGATTACCCCATGCAGCTGTTGCCCAGTCCCCACTCAACATCAGGCAAGAGAGGCGGGTCCTTCAGACAGGTACAAGGACAGGTGTGTGTGTGTGTGTGTGTGTGTGTGTGTGTGTGTGTGTGTGTATATGTGTGTGTCTTATAGAGAGAGGCCCAGAGATTACACAGATAATAGTACTTTTCTGGTATTTTGGAGCTGAAAGCTATTTGGAATACACCACACCCTGTTCAATGGGTTTGATGAGTGCGTTGCTGCCTGTGTGTGTGTGTGTGTCCTGTTTGCACGGCTGCTTCTCAAGCGTAGATAGATCAACAGAGCTTAAGTAAACAAAAGGGAAGAGGAGAAGAGGTGAGCTCCAAGACAAAAGGACAGAAATGCAACGAAGGTGTGACAGATGCGCTCCGACATGCCAGATCTCCTCTGCATAACTGGAATACACGCACACCCATGCCCTTTGCGGTTCACAGGCATTGTGTGTATGTATGTGTGTATGTGTGTGTGTGTGTCTGTGTGTGTATGTATGTATGTTTGTGTCTGTGTGTGTGTCTGTGTGCAGCCCCACCCCGGCTCATCAACTCTCACTGTGTGTTTTTAGGAAGCCAGTCAGCCGTTGAACTTGACCTCCAAACCCAAGGGGATGGAGATGGGGAAGACACCCAGCCCCCAGGCCCTGGAGCTGGGTACGCTGGGTCTGTCCGGGGCCTACAGACCCAGAGAGCACCAGAGAGAGGTGTCCCATAGTCCGCCACGCACTGCCCTGAGTGAGTCACACAAACACGCACGCACACACACACACACACGGTCTGGTTTAGTCCTGGTTTAGTCCTGGTTTAGTCCTGGTTTAGTCCTGGTTTAGTCCTGGCCTGGTTGTTGGTCTCTTTAATCTGCTGTAATTAGACACTGGTGGATGTTGACACAGATCTTCTCATTACGATGGATCTAATGTTCATAAAAAGTACAAATGTAATGATACGTTTGGATCTGTTTGTTTTGAGCTTTAAAATAATCATATAATAATCATAATAATAATCATATAATAATAATAATTATATAACAATAATAATAATAATACTAATCTTGTGGATCTGTCTCAAACATGTATGACTTCAGATAAAAACATCTGGAGACTAACATGGACAAAGCAGATTCTTAGGTCATGTCTTTAACACGAGAACTCCCAGAGCAGTCAATTTGACGGCTTTTCGCTGTGGACGTGTAATTCCTCGACTCGTGTACATTTTTGACCTTTTTCTGGATCTTTATGTAGTTTATTTTCATGATTTAATTTTTTATTTTTAGTTCTATATTTGACTCACTGAGCAGTCATTATGACGGCTCTGTTCCTTTTAATGTAGCAAACAATCTATGGCAGTTAAAGCCCCCTTTCTCAAGGTGCTGGTTCTGAACTGGTCCTGGACTGGTTCTGGTTCTGAGTCAAGTCAGCTTGTTTTGCTATACCTGCAGGTGAAAGCTAAGCAGGGCAGGGACTGGTTAGTACTGTGATGGGGGACCTCTGGCAAAAACCAGGTGCCACAGTGGGGCGGCTGTAAAGTGCCAAACTGTGGTTTGTGTCCTTAGGCAAGACACTTCCCCCACATCAGAATGAGTCTGGTGTGAGTGGTTGGTGGTGGTGGGGGAGGGGCCGATGGTGGATCGCAGGTGGTGAAGGACCTGGTGAAGATCGCGGTGAAGATCGGGGTGTTGTTCCGGAACAATCGCTTCACCACCGAGGAGCTCGCCATTGCACAGGACTTCAAGAAGAAGCTGCACATGGGCGCCATGACGGCCATCAGCTTCTATGAGGTGAACTGGACTGGACAGGACTGGACCGGACTGATCCAGAGAGCCGAGGACTACAGGGGTCTGTGATGGACAAAAGTACCATTGACTCTCCACTTTCTTCACCACAAAACCCTGGCTCTGAGTCTCTGCAGGTGGACTTCATGGACAACCAGGGGCAGAGTGAGAGAAGGACCAGAGAGAGACCAGAAGAAGACAGACCAGAGAGAGAGACCAGAGAAAGACCAAAGAGAGAGACCAGAGAAAAGCAGAGAGAGACTAGAGAGAGACCAGAAAAATACAGAAGAAAGAGATCAGAGAAAAGCAGAGAGAGACTAGAGAGAGACCAGAAAAATACAGAAGAAAGAGATCAGAGAAACACCGAAGAGAGAGATCAAAGAAAGACCAGATAAAGACTAGAGAGAGACCAGAGAAAGACCGAAGAGAGAGACCAGAGAAAAAACCGAGACCTGAGAAAGAGCAGAGAGAGACCAAAGAAAGACCGAAGAGAGCCCAGAGAAACCCCAGAGAGAGACCACAGAAAGTCCAGAGAAGGATCAAAAAGAGAGAGAGACCAGAGAGAGAGAGACCAGAGAGAGAGAGACCAGAGAAAGATCATAAAGAAAGGCCAGAGACAGAGCAGAGAGACCAGAAGAGAGCAGAGAAATATCAGAGAGAGACCCAGAGAAAGATCAGAGAGAGACTGTTGTAATATAGGTCTCTCCACAAACACATGGAGTTGAACTTCCTGAACATCTGAAAAACTCTCCCTCTCCCTGGTCCTCGTCTCCGCAGGTGGATTTCACGTTCGACCAGGCCGTGATGTCGGAGCTCCTGAGCAGCTGCAGGGACCTCCTCCTGAAGCTGGTCCAGACCCACCTCACGCCCAAGTCCCACGGCCGCATCAACCACGTCTTCAACCACTACTCGGACCCCCAGCTCCTCAGCAAACTGTACGAGCCCAGCGGACCCTACCGAGCCCACCTCACCAAGATCTGCAAGGGACTCAACAAGATGGTGGAGGACGAGACTTTATGAGCCAGACCTACACGTCACGGTCCGACTAACACTGGGAGAAGTCCTCGCTGGCGCTGAGAGGAAGAGGATGAGGAGGAGGAAGAGGACTGTTGCCATATAGTGACTTGTACATTTACAGTGGTCCCTCGTTTACGGCGGGGGTGATGTGTTCTAAATTAAATCCGAAAAGTAGTAGCTGTATGTTTTAAGGCTGTAAAATCCCTCACACTTTATACACTTTTCTAACCACCTGAAAGACTCGTGAAGAGAGTGAGACCAGAGAGAGATCAGAGAGAGACCAGAGAGAGGGACCAGACAGAGAGAGACCAGAGAGAGACCAAAGAGCGACCAGAGAGAGACCAGAAAGAGATCAGAGAGAGACCAGAGAGAGACCAGAGAGAGATCAGAGACCAGAGAGAGACTAGAGAGAGAGACTTGCAGAAGACCAGAGAGAGAATAGAGAGAGACCAGAGAGAGGCCAAAGAGAGATCAAAGAAAGACCAGAGAGAGGCCAAAGAGAGACCAGAAAGAGACCAGAGAGAGGCCAAAGAGGGAGACTTGAGAGAGACAAGAGAAATGGACAAGAGAGAGACCAGAGAGAGACCAGAGAGAGAGCAGAGAGAGAGACTTGCAAAAGACCAGAGAGAGAATAGAGAGAGACCAGAGAGAGAGCCAAAGAGAGACCAGAAAGAGACCAGAGAGAGACTAGAAAGAGAGACTAGCGAAAGACCAGAGAGAGAGAGAGAGAGAGAGAGAGAGAGAGAGACCAGAGAGAGGCAGTGCTAGTCCTCTGAATCAAACTCAGGCCACAAAGATTTTCCTCTGACTTTAATCAAATGTTACTGTCATATTTTTCTCACGGTTAAATGCGGTTAAAAAGAAACACACAAAACTGACCACAAACGATGCCGCGACACATGGAGGGACCACTGTAAAGGACTCAGCCGATGTCTCTGAGGTGAGAATCCAGGAGTAGAAATCACGGCAAAGACTTGTGGAATTGAGCAAAAGATAAAGTTTAAGGTGAGACGTGCTGCCATCGGAGACAAAAGGGACTGAACTTGAAGCGATTGTATGTTTTTTATCATAACTACTGATTCCATGTTGTTTCTGAGCAGCGAAAAGCACATTCAGCCGTGGTGTTATCGGTGTAACAACACTGCCCTCTGCTGGAGAATATATAGAATGCATAATATGTTTACACACAGTACATCAGAGGTGTTCGACTGGTCCTCAAACATGAGTCCTCAGGGCCAGACTGGACTGGAGGAAGTGGGTGGAGTCTGGTGTGTGCTCCTGCTTGGTTGGTATGAAAACCTGCAGCCACTTGACCATTTGAGGACCGGGTTGAAGTCGCTTGCAGTACATTTAAGTAAAAATTATTTTAAAAAATTCAATGGTAAAAGGGTGACCACCTTCAGTTTCTGTTTTATCTTTTTTGCTTTCTATAATTCCAGCGGTAAAAGGATATTATGCAACTTTTTATCTGGTAAAAAGTTTATATTTGTGTGTATTTTATCTCAAAAATTGTCAGAGTGGTTAGTTTGGGGCCTTAACTTCTGATCAGGGTTTTTTTATTTCTTATTCGAGCAACAAGCAATATTTTCTGCTTCGCTTCAAACACAGTCACCAGACAGTTTTATTAGATTCTCCAGTTTTAGGGTTTCTTTTGCTTTGTTTTGTTTGTGAGACTAGAGAGACCAGTGAGAGAGTGAGAGAGAGACCAGGGGGAGACCAGTGAGAGACCAGTGAGACTAGAGAGACCAGTGAGAGAGAGAGAGAGAGCAGGGAGAGAGAGAGAGACCAGGGGGAGACCAGTGAGAGACAGAGACACCAGAGCGAGAGAGACCAGGGAGAGATCAGTGAGAGAGACCAGAGAGAGAGAGAGACAAGGAAGAGAGACCAGTGAGAGAGACCAGAGAGAGAGAGAGAGACCAGGGGGAGACAGAAAGACCAGAGAGAGAGACCAGAGAGGAACTAGTAAGAGAGAGAGAGACCAGGGGGAGAGAGACCAGAGAGAGAGAGACCAGTGAGAGAGAGAGAGAGACCAGTAAGAGAGACTAGAGAGACCAGAGAGAGAAAGAGAGACCAAGGAGAGACCAGGAAGAGCCCAGAGAGAGAGAGAGAGAGAGAGAGAGAGAGAGAGAGAGAGAGACCAGAAAGAGCTAGAAAGACCAGGGAGAGAGACCAGAGAGAGAGAGAGACCAGTGAGAGAGAGAGAGAGACCAGTAAGAGAGACTAGAGAGACCAGGGAGAGATCAGTAAGAGAGACCAGAGAGAGAAAGAGAGAGCAAGGAGAGACCAGGAAGGGCCCAGAGAGAGAGAGAGAGAGAGAGACCAGAAAGAGCTAGAAAGACCAGGGAGAGAGAAACCCTTCCAAACAGTTGACCCTACAGCCTCCTAGAGACCACAGTGATGAAGGTAAAGCAGCCACACTGACCACTCAATCAGCCGCTGGTCACGTCAAGGTAAAAAACACAAAAATATACAGTTTTTCCCACATAAATAGTTGGATAAAGTTGCTCTAACCTCACATTCTTCATAATAAACTTCATATTTCACACATGGATGTAACCGCTGCTTAACTTGTCAAACTACTGCAGCCCTGGTCATTCTCTAACTCTACTCGTGTGATTAAAATCTATAATTAAAAAAGCTTATCGCCCCAAACAGAGAGAGGAGGTCGCCCTGAGGACAGTGGGTCAAAGCATTTCTATGAGCATTAGTCAACACTGGAGTCAGAACCGAGAACTTTCTGCTTCCAGCGTCAGGTTCTTGACATAGACGATGTAAGAATGATGTTGATATTTTGAAAGGAAACATTTCACCGCAGCTGTAGGAAGCCAGGAGACATATGCAACATGATTATAGTATATATATATATATATGTGTGTGTGTGTGTGGATGCTTCTGTTGGACTCAAAGGGACAAACCACAGAATGCTGTCTGTTTATGTCTTTGAGCAAATAAACGTTTCTGAATATTCTTTTACCGTGTGTCGTGCTGCGGTGCTGAATGTGAGCCAAAGTCATGTCTGGAGGTTATGTATGGCCTCATCTGCAGACACACGGGAGTGAGCTTCAGAACACCTTCTTCTGATACATCTCACTTGGTTTTCCAGAGAGAGAGATGAAAGGGAGAGACCAGAAAAAGACCTGAGAGAGACCAGAGAGAGAGTGAGAGAGACAAGAGAGTCCAGAGACAGAGAGCCAATATAGACCATAGAAAGAGACCAGAGAGAGAGAGACGAAAGGGAGAGACCAGAAAAAGACCGTAGAGAGAGAGACCAGAGAGAAACAAGAAAGAGAGACCATAGAGAGACAAGTGAGAGACCAGAGAGAGAGAGAAGAGAGGGACAAAAGGGTGAGACCAGAGAGAGAGAGTTGGACCAGAGAAAAAAACAAGAGAGATACAAGAGAGTCCAGAGAGAGAGACCAGAGAGAAACAAGAAAGAGAGACCAGGGAGAGAGAGACCAGAGAGAAACAAGGAAGAGAGACCAGAGAAACAAGAAAGAGAGACCAGGGAGAGAGAGAGACCAGAGAGAGACCAAGAAAGAGAGACCAGGGAGAGGCAAGAGAGAGACCAGAGAGAAACAAGGAAGAGAGACCAGGGAGAGAGAGAGACCAGAGAGAAACAAGAAAGAGAGACCAGAGAGAGGCAAGAGAGAGACCAGAGAGAGACTACGAAGAGAGACCAGGGAGAGAGAGATCAGAGAGAGACCAGAGAGAGACAAGAGAGAGACCAGAGAGAGACCAGAGAGAGACCAAAAAGAGACTTGAGAGAAACCAGAGACACCAGAAAAAGCCATCTTCATAACACATCCAATACATCTATCTAATCTTTTCAGAGAGAGGCCAGAAAAGGATCAAAGAGAAAAAAAAGTGAGAGAGCCGTACGTTTAATGACATTCTCTAAAGTGAATGTAAGTTATTTATTGATTTGTGAAGATAGAGAGATATCATTTCAAATCCAGACCTGGTTAGACCTGCTGGTTAGACCTGGTTAGACCTGGTTAGACCTGCTTAGACCTGTCCATCCTCGGCCTATGCCTCCCACATAAAGGCCTCTTGTCTCTGAGTCTATGGTGATTATAGATTGTGAACAAAAACAAGCCACAAACCATTTTCTTTAAAGTTAGTTTTAACAAATATTTTAAGGTTCAGTGCAAACAATAAAATAAAAATCTATGTTTTTTTAGTTTCTGTAGTATTCTCAGTGTTGTCTCTGCACCATGATAGAAGTGTTAGAATTCACAACTGTTTGGAAGGAGGTCTAGGACTAAAGTTATTATAAAGCTGGTCAGAAAGAGAGAGACCAGAGCGACTAGAGAGAGAGAGCAGAGAGTGAGAGCAGAGAGAGAGACAGGAGAGGTACCAGAGAGAGAGACAAGAGAGAGAGAGAGAGAGAGACCAGAGAGAGATTAGAGAGGGACCAGAGAGAGAGAGATCAGAGAGAGGGACCAAAGAGAGATTAGAGAGGGACCAGAGAGAGACCGGAGAGACAAGCAAGAGAGACCAGAGAGAGACCAGAGAAAGAGACCAGAGAGAGCAGAGAAAGAGACAGGAGAGAGACTAGAGTGACCAGTGTGTGCCATACGTCTCTTAAATGCATAAGAATTCCCGTCACATGACCAGAGCAGAGCTGAGTCTGACATTCTTCTCTCGCTGCAGAACAATTACAGAGTTCATCAGTGAAAGTGGCAAAGACTGAAGACAAGGACAGACCGTAGGCTTAGGGTAGAGTTGAGTAGAGTAGAGTAGGGTAGAGTAGAGTAGGGTAGAGTAGGGTAGAGTAGGGTAGAGGGTAGAGTAGGGTAGAGTAGGTTAGAGTAGAGGGTAGAGTAGGGTAGAGTAGAGTAGAGTAGAGTAGAGTAGAGTAGAGTAGGGTAGAGTAGAGTAGGGTAGAGTAGGGTAGAGTAGAGGGTAGAGTAGGGTAGAGTAGGTTAGAGTAGAGGGTAGAGTAGGGTAGAGTAGGGTAGAGTAGAGTAGAGTAGAGTAGAGAAGGGTAGAGTAGAGTAGAG